AGCTTGGACCAATGGTGTTTCTGCTCTCGTTGCTATGGACAGACAGGTTGTCTGCAATATTCAAAAGATTTTTAATAAAATCTTCATTATTAGAGAAATGTGTCAGTGAATTTTTAATAGATAGAAAAACTTTAGTTTTGGACATTTTTAATTATATACAGGGGAAAAAAGAAAGGGTTATATTTGCTGTTCTGCATTAATAAATACATCTTTATGAAAATGTATTTGAATATTAATGTAATTCACACAGAATCAATGTATCAGTGTACAAGAAAAGTATTTCTTACCATAAGGCAGAGGAGTCCTTGTTCGAATCTGACTGATATCTGGAGTGGTGGTGCCATCCATGGTAAAATCCGGATACTCCACAATGTGGTCATTAGCAAACATCCCCTCATAAATCCTTCCATTTTTGAAAACAAATTTTCCCTAGAAACACAGATTAAAAGTTAAACTTAAAACTTTCTAGAGGTACATGTATTATGATCACTCAGCTCACAAAATGACAATGCAGGTGCTTTGCCTGCTGCCCGATCCCATTCACTAAAATTTTGTATAAATAAAAAAAATGACACCTCCTCCAAAATATTTCAAATAGAACAGTGATTTTTGTCCAATCTAGATGCTGTGTATTTCAAAATTTTGTCTAATATGATATATTTACATTTGCAAATATCTTTCTTAGATGAACCTATTGAAGAGAAAATACGTTCAATTCTGTGTGTCAATTTCATTTGGGGGTCAGAGGTCATAGCGCTACCGGATCACAGAGCGATGTGATATTTTGACCAAACAACGTCGAGGTCATTGTGTGTCACTACATAGCATTATTATGCTTCCTGTCAGTTTGTCTCTATATAACCCATACCCTACTATTCTCGCATAGTGGTCTAAGGATTTATATAGCGTAAGTATACTATGCCGAAATAGTGCACGGCTTTATTTACTGAATAAAATTCCTCCATGCACACGCCGGGAATCGAACTCATGACCATGCGGTTGTCAGTCCGATGCCTTATCGATTACGCCACAGAGACGATCACTAATTGGCGGGATTTTATTACATATATAAACTTAATTTATACAATTGACACAAGAAGGAGAAAATAGACAAATATTATTTAAAAACAGTTATATTATTCTAAGGAACCTTAGATAAATGTGTACAACAAAGTTTCAAACTAATTACATACAGATCGTTAGATGAACTGATATCATGGGGTCATTAAAACGCTTTTTTATATAGCGCTTGATTGAAGGATGCAAAAGAAAAATATCAATGAGAATCGACGTCTGCAAACAAATCAGTCTTACTAACACAACGGAAAATAAAGATGAGTTGCTTTGGGACAGAAAATCCCGACTTATTTAAAGAAAATACTAGTAATCAAAATAACTAAGCATGCAACAATTTTAGCATGAAGATTTTGAATCAGTTCTTGCAGGTGCGCTGTGTTAGCACCGATGTTTTCAGGAAAAAGTCAAATGGATTGCCGCATAAATAGTAATTACAACAGTCAGCATAATAATAACAATAGTGTTGCATTATGCATGTACTATGCCTAAATAGTAGGCAGGGTTTGACACATAGTGCACTCGCCTCCGGCTCGTGCACCATGTGTCAAACCCTGCCTACTATTTAGGCATAGTACATGCATAATGCAACACTATTATATAAATATATGTTGGCCCATTCGTGTAATAAATACAATTTAACTCAAAATGTATTCGTTTCAAATGTAAATATGAGTAAAAAATTACAATGTTAAAAAGTTCACTGGGAAATGAACTTTTAGTTGGTACGTGATCAAATCTACTGAGAAGCCCTTTGGGCTTCACAGATTTGATCACGTGACCAACTAAAAGTTCATTTCCCAGAGAACTTTTTAAAATTGTTGTTTATATCTTTAGTAAACTATAAGTTATTTTCAATAAAATTCAGACGTTTAAATCTGGAATTCTGTCTAATCCAGGCAATTTCTATGGAACCAGCTAGGTCCATATAAGGCATGTTTCACTGTAGCAATGCTGATCAACTGTCTTTACTTCTGTACTACCAAGTACATTTGTATTTATATAAGGATTTGTTGTAAGTACCTTTCCATGCTTCATGTTATCTTTCCAGCCCCCTTCATACTTTGCTCCATTAGCATAGTAAAATGAACCAGAGCCGTGCCTAAGTCCATTGACAAAGTCTCCATCATACATGTTCCTCAGTGGATACTGTGATCCTGTCACCCTCTTCAGCATCCAGATGTGTTGTCCAACACCATGCTGCAAGGAGAAATCCAAATTGTTTGCAATAATTGACTGACATTATAGGTTCTGAGGTATTTTTCCCCCTTTGCGTTGAATATATATTATAAAAATTGCATAATTTTCAACAAATTTCAGCCCCTAGATTTGTGGTTCTGTCCTACATATACCACAAGGGATCGTGATCTGAAAAAACTTAATCAATTTCTGCACCGCCTGGTACTTAGGGTGCTTGCTAATTACCATGGACTTATCTTGATTTTACAGTCTTGAGAAGAATTTAGATTTTTAAAAACTTTTCCCTACATACATGTAATCCTACATAAGGTGTCACAAAACTTTGGTGCCTTTACAATATAAATACCACCAACCTGGATGCCATTTTCCCAGTTCCCTGTGTACATTTGATTCCGATCCAGCCATTTCATTGTTCCTTCTCCGTGTCTGATATTGTTGAACCACATTCCTTGGTAGATGTTCCCAGATGGGTACTGGCGAGTCCCCCAGCCATGTTTGACATTACTGATCCAATCTCCATCATAATACGACCTACCCTCACTATCGTAATCCATCTTCCCCTAAAAAGTGATATGATAATGCAACTCCTTTAAAATGTCTAAGCTGTAGAAATTAATGAAGTGCAACAAATCTTTTGAAAAGTCATTGTCTTAAAGTAGAAGTTGACAATAAATGTAAAAAAGGACTGAGACTCATGCAATCAAACATGTGCACCTTGGGACCAGGATAAGAATTCTGAAACTCACTGCACACAGCAAAATATAAATGTTTTAAAGAAAATCTGTTAACATTCACAGAAGAATCTGACCTTGCCATGACGTTTGCCCTGTGACCATTCCCCCGTGTAAGATAACTTGTTGTTCTTACACCTGTAGGAACCGATGCCATGTCTCTTCCCATTCAACACCTCACCATCATACATACTGACAAAAAATAAATAAACAATCACACTGTAATATCAAGTCTGAATAACTTTTCATTAAATCTGACATCTTTTTGAGTTTTTAATGATTTTATTTTCGAGAGATAATCATTAATTGATTTTAATTACCTTCCATCAGGCCATTTATAGACACCTTTTCCAGTCACCTGATTCTGGAAGAATTCTCCCTAAAATAAAAATAGAGCTTTAGATATTTAGTCAATAATCCTTTTATTATATCCAAAACATTTTTTAAAACTTTATATGAAAGGAATGTCTTTAGATTCTAGTCTGTAAATAAGAATCTTCCAGTTTAATGAATATTTTTTTTTTACATCAAATACATGTAACCATGCATGTATGTTATATCAATAAAAATGGAGAGATTGGAAAATAACATAAGTCCTCAAACATTTACAGTTCACACCAAAATATGTCTCATTAAATATCTTGGTGCTCTATGTTCTGCACAGTAGAAATATTTTACTTAAAGTTAATATTAATGCCCTTTATCAGATTTCTACATTACCTGATACTCCACTCCATCGCTCCAGGTATAGTGACCTTGACCATGCATGAGACCTTCACAGAACTGGCCCTATTACATAGACATAATATAAACATAAATAAATTCAGAAACTTATGGAGGTGATTATGATAAGTTTACTTCAAAACTCCAGAAATTGTAAGCTTTTGTATGTTATTTTTCTACTGAATTATTGAATTGTATACATGTATATGTTGTTAGAATTATCTAGCATCAACTGTCTCACTATATTCAACTGACCTTGTAAGTATGACCTCCTGTAAATAGAGCATAGCCCTCCCCTTCATACATCCCTCTTGTCTTCTCTCCTTCAAAGCTGAAATCAATTATGCCTGAATTATTATTCATGATAAATAGTGTCAAGTCTTACATGTATAATTAGCTTTCCTAAAAAAATGTTTGATGTGAACAAATATAAATTTATTCCACTGAAAACCAAGAAGAATTCAATCCAGAAATATTCATTCCTTTGCCAAGGGGAAAAAATAAATTCAGTATCATCTACCTAAAATGTTACTCAGACTTGAACTTATTCTGTAAGTATATAATTCCTTGCTATGTATGTATAAATCAAATGTGACCACAGGGGCTTGTCACAAAATATTTATCTTCTTTTAATACAGAAGGGATAACTATATATATTAAAAGAAGATAAATATTTCGTGACAAGCCCCTGTGATGTAACATCAAATAAAAACATGCTGGACATAAATACTTTTGTGCTATATATTATTTATATCTTAATAATACACTTTTATAAAACGGAGATAAATAACCCTTACGTTTCAATTATGAGTTCTGAGAGGACAGGTTCGTCATACATGGGCTCGGGGGACGGTTCTTTTGGGGGGTCAATAATCTCCGTTTGATCCTCCGTGGGTGACGACTCTGTCTCCAGTGCCAAAGATTCATCTTTCTTGTCTTCTTCGGCAATAGAATCTTCGCTCTTTTTCGCACTTGTTTTCTGTTTTTTCGGCATACTGCTTTTGCCTTTTCGACTGTTCGTTGTCAAGTCGGAAGTTAATGTAAACAATCGGTATTAAATAACTCGTGCATAGTTGTTTCTTGATTATTTTTTTTTCTTTTCCTTTTTAAAATGTCTTTTTGTAAATAATGTGTATAAATCATTGTAAAGTAACAATGTGACATTTTTAAATACAACCTTTTTAATGTAATTTACTTAATTTTTTTTTATATTCTTGAACATGTTGAAGGGCAGGGCACTTGAATGAGAACCAGTTTATACAGGCACACAACAAACGTGAAACGAAAGTTGACAGACGAAAATATGGATATAGTGACTTTTTCTCATTATCTAAGCTACAGTGTTATTTTGAGCAGTCTTTTTGTAAAAGTACCACAAATTATATCAGTTCTGAGTGCAAAAAGCACAAAGGGACTTAGTTTAAGTAGTGTTTTGTTGGAAGAAGTTGGGTATGTTTTTTCCTCTTTGCACATGGTGTATCACTGTATGTATCATTGTCAGCTGACTGTGTTTAATGTTCATCTCCGTAACGTGGCAATCGAGGCCATGCCCTTTCTATTGTTATTATAAGTGTTTACATTTTTCCATAACAAATAAATTTGATAGGCATTCACAGAAACACTTGAATCCCCCAATCTGTTTTTGTAATGTACGTTCTCTCCATAATATCACATGAATCATATGATGATGCAAAAAAATGAAAAGGGTGAAGTAAAAGAACAGTAATCAGTCTAATAAATCTACAAACTATAAATCTGTTAAGAGACACGAAGACCATTAAATGAGAACATGTATCACAGTATGCAACTTGCACGTCAAAATTTAAAAATAATATAATTTTAATTGTGAATGTAAACAATGCATGTTTGTGTAACAATAACAATATAATCAAAATATGCACCACTGTATTTGTGTGCAACTTATCAACACACTGATATTCTAAACTTGATCAATAATTCTAATAAATGGAGTACTTTAATATAATTTATTATAGTTTATTATAATAAATCATACTCAGTAAATGTATTTCAGGTATTCTATTATGCTGACTTACAGTTTTGCTATGGGATATCCTCTGGCTTCCTATTTTGAATACACAGTACTTGTTCTTCAAGGTATGTTATCATTGTCTGATTAATCAAGGGTTTATTTTAGTTAATTAAAAAATCATTTTATAGCATATTTAATTAAATAGTAAAAAAATATTTGAGGACACAAAGTTTTATGGAAAAATTATTCTTTGAGTGAACTTTTGTAAACTTAATTTTCTAATTCTGTCTAATATTTTCAAAAGCCATCCATTACATGAATGCCTTTTATTAAAGGTTATAATCTGCTATTGTTGTGAAGCATTGAATTTATGATTTAAAAAAAACAAAAAAAAATCTGTTTAGTATATAAAATTATATGGGTGAACACTATCAGTTTTAATGTAATCCTTCTATTTTTGTGTAAAATTTACAGGAGCTAGTACTTTAGATATACAGACAGGGTTCGAAATTCACTATATATAACTCGCAAAATTCGAGTTAGAATTTTCAAATTGCGAGTTTAAAAATTTGTAACTCGCAAATTTTTGCGAGTTGACTTTTTTCACTGTAAATTTCACCAGGGGAAAAATTTATATTGACATCCCCCATTTTTAAACCCATGTTCGACAACCAGGCCTAAAAATAACGACCGATCAATTCAAATTACCTCCAGGTGGATTTTTTTCTCCCAATCTGCGTGGATTGATCAATCAGCTGATTGGGAATCCATTTATTCGAAAAAAAATATTAATTGTATGTCAACCTAGTTAACATTTACCATAAATATAAAGAATAACCATAATGTTTTATTGTAATAACAATTTCCCGCACAACTTTTGAAGTTCGTTTTTTGCGGCTAGGCAGTCATGTTGGTTGCCATATTAGGTTCCACTGTAAATACAACACCTGGTTTATTCAGTCCGGGGATGTTTGGCTCTTTTAATCATAAGGAAACAAAATCTTGACCTTCTGAACAATGATTTTTGGGGAATGTTACAGGAAACAAACATAATTTTTTTTAAACCTCATGTAGAAAATTTAGAATTTTTTTTAATGGATGTATGGTGATTTATTTTTAAAAAGCTTTCATTTTAAAATTGCCAGTTGTCTTTTGAAATTGCGAGTTCATATTTTTGGAACTCGCAATTATTTGCGAGTTGTAATTTTAGGGAGTTTCTACCCCTGACAGTCAAATTTCAACGCTAATATCCCTATGTCAAAATGATATTAAAACCCCAAACCCTTTTTTGAATGTATTTAACCCAAATATCCCAGATCCTTGGATATTTCAAAGTTTATTAATGATCCCATTGAGCTCAAGTTAACAAGGTTTGCCTGTACTTTAATTTATAAATGTATTCACGTTAATATATGAATTTGAAATACAAATCTTTTCACTGGTTACTTCTAATTTTATCAAATCATAATACTATAGTGTCCACAACATAATAACTTTAAGGTCCTTCTTTTCTTAAGTATTTAAACTCAAGCACATCCATGCTCAGGGAAGCCTCCTAAGGTAAAACTAGTATTCAAGACTTACCTCAGCTTTTTTATGAACTTTTAGATATTTTACTTTTAGAATTTTCTTTTCTGAATCTAATCACTTCCCTTAAATTTTGTTTTGTTGTTTGGTATTTTGTTTATTATATAAATATTGCATGTAGTTGAGTGTAACATTTAAAATTTTCGCCCCAAGAAAACCATTGTCAACCGAGGTGCAGCCTCAGTTGACAATGGTTTTCGAGGGGTGAAAATTTTCAATGTTACACTCAACTACATGCAGTATTTATTATATTATACTTAATGTTTTATACAAATGCATATTACAGTGAACCGTGCGCGCATAAATTCCGCGCAGTCGCTATTTTTTGGAATACCACCCGTCGTCAAGCAATGTTGACTGTTGCTACGCAGGAGGGCGTGGCTTCATTATTCAGCGGGTAGTAGTGTTTTTTATCAAATGTTTCTCGATGAATCAGATTCAAGTAATTTACATGAAAGTATAATATTATACAATAGTTTAACATCATTAAATGTTTGCAACTTTACTTATTTTGCCTATTTAACTGTATCTTAATTGCCTGTCTCTTTCGAAGTGGGTTCACTTTCTTGAAATTTATAAATGTAACAGAGTGACTGAAATATTATAATAATTAAAAAAATGTAATCAAAAAATATAATTAAACACATCATTAAGTAAATTAAAACACACATACATGCCAAAACGTTTGCTGTATGTGTATCCACTAACAATTCTTGAAATCATGTTTTTAGAATACATGTATGTACCATATTCTTTCTTTGCAGACTTGATTTTGATTGTTGCCATACTTCACTTTGATGGTATCCTGAAAATGAAAACTATACCAGTCTTTCTGTTGTATCCTTTTTAAGAAGTAGAGTTGTCTTTCTTTGCCCATTTATACAAGTGTGTGTGGTGTTCAGATGGGTTCAATCACCTGTGGTCAGATGAGCACCTGACCATAGATTCAGGCATCTTCACCAGTCAAGGGGATTTTCACCCTTGGCTAGCGAAGATGAGATTCAGAGGGTCTATATATAGATTCAATTCTCAGTCTGGTCTATGACATTTTTCTCCTCTACTGTTTCACATTAAATAACTTAACTTGCCTAGATATTTCTTCGTGTACACGGGGATAGCATTCAGATGGTTTCCAGATATTATTTTAACGGCAGTGATTGTGAGTTAATTAATCAACACAGTAATCAAACATGCTGATTTATTGTTTAAAAAGCAAAATCTGCAACAAACTATTTACTATTTAGTAATTCAATAACATACAACTAAAAAATAATTCATGAATATAATTTGACTATTTCTTTACCAATTATTCCACTTTTCTTTTGATAGAGTCTGGTGACCCCCCTTTCCTTTACCAGTAAACTTGCTCAAATGAAGTTATTGTATTCAAGTAAGAATCCAGGACAAGTTAGCCTGATGACCTGGTGTATTGTTACATATGGTGCTACTGGTAAGTTCTGATCAAATTGCAATAACTCTATGTCTACAACTTAATTTTCTCTAATAAATTATACATTTAATCAACACAAAATTGTATTATTGTTAAGTATAGTTTAAAATAAAATCTAGCACTAAAATATTTATAGTAGCCTTTGCTGCATTTATATAAGAACCTGAAGAAAGTATTCTGTGAAGAGAGTATCTGTTGCACTGTGTGAAGAGTAATCCATTGCACTGTACCCTTGCACATGTTCCCATACCCCTCCTCCCCAACCATACACATAAATATGTATCTTTATCATCAGAGGATGGAAGAGTGCATGTGTAAAAGTTACCGTAATTTGCTGTAATTTGATATTAAAACAATGATTAATTCTAACCAAATACAATGATTAATAACAAGAAACTCCTCCGATTTCTAATACTGTAATTTAAATTTTCTTTACTTGAAGCTCGTATACTGACCTCGTTTTTCCTGACCGGGGACATTGGAGTCATCCTGAATTTCACTGTAGCTGCTTCTATGAATATGACCATCTCATGCATGGTCATTTACTACAGACAGCTCACAAGAGACAAAAGTGAATAAACTTTGGTTTTGCTCTATATACACATTATACCTCGGCAAATTTGAAGCCATGTAAACCATTAAATTTGATTATGAATTGATCGATGAAAATGTTTTGCAAAATAATTGTGTGACATGCTTTCTTTTCTTGAGAACTAAAATCGGTTTTCTAATATAATTATGTGTCTTAAACCATTGCAAAAGTGTATAAGCACATTAGAAACAAAACACAAGCACATTAATGACAACGTCATATTATAGTTATAAAATTCACAGAAACATTTTATCTTGATAGATTCAAATAAAGCGCATCAATGACTATGTAAAATTTTCTCCTTAAATTAATGTGCTAGCACGTTAATGACAACAAGTTGTGTGCTAGGACAAAAAAAAATTGAAACACAAGCTAGCGCGTTGAAATTTTACTCATGTATTTTCTATAATCTATTTTCAAATAGCAATATTTTTCTCGTTGATGACAACTAGTTGTGTGTTAGTGCAAAGTTGTGTTGTGAACTACAAAGTTTTAACAGAATTATGGTGATTTTTCGCTAGTGCATAAATGAAAACAATGCAAAATGACGTCGTCAATGACGAGTTGTGTGTTAGCGTGAAGTCACGTTGACATTAATACAACAATACAAGAATACAAGAATGCAACAATACAACAATACAATACAACAATAGGGTAGTGTCATTAACACGCTAGCATGTTGTCATTAATGCGCTTGCGTGTTGTTAGAATACATTTGTTGTTCACAACACGACTTTGCGCTAACACATAACTCTTTGTCATTAAAGCGCTAGCACAACAGCGCATTGTCATTAATGCGCTTGCGTGTTGTTTCTAACGCGCTAATACACTTTTGCAATGGCCCTATTGGGACACCATTTTATAATTCCTTGACGTCGAAGATTTTACGGCTCCGTTACGTTATTATAAGTCCTGTTAAATCACCACAAATTGATAGAAATGTACATCATTTTGATATGAAATTTTGAAGACCATATGAGTCAAGATTCTTCAATGTTAAGTGTGACATTTTGCCCGATTATGTCGTCATGCAAATATTTTTTTCTGTACAACAAGGCCGCATAATTTTTGAACGGTCCTCGTATGTATGTTTAAATATATTGTACATGTATTTATATTATCTGTATCTCTGTAAAAACAAAGAAAGCATCCTACTGTTAAACTATATATGTGCAATAGATTTTATGATAATGAATAATAAGAAATGGATAATTGTTGAACTGTGTTGTAAGTTATATTAATTAGCCAAACTGAATGAGCATTTTAAAAATAACTTGGAAATGATTTCATTGTCGAAACAGGATTTTAAAAAATGCAAAAGGGGCTTATTTACGTCAAGAGACAAGCATGGATAACTAGATGCTGTCACAAGACAGTGATATACACCAACACTTAGGTTTGTGTCTCTGAATGTACTCACCTCCATGTCTTAGTAACAAGGGAATATGTCTTATAATATCTGGTTTACAAAAATATCAGTTTCAATCATTGATCATTCACTCAGTTTAAAAACCTAAATGCAAATCTAGGTACAGGACACATCGATACTTCTAATAAAAATATGATTGGTATAATGTGAGAATTAATGTTCACAGAGGATAGATTTTGTTGAAAAGAAAACGATTAAAACAAAATTCTAAAACCTTATGTACATCTACAAGACACCACCAATCATATTCCAAAAGATGTGGTGGCTACTGCAAAGAATATACAAGAGGTCCAATTGGGCCTTATAGGTGATCCAACAACCTTCCAACAATTGAATTTGGTTTTAAACAACTGGCCAGGAAATTCGCAATTCTGAAAGACGCACCATTGCTCATCAAAACTATACTTGTAGCATGCTTAATAAAATTACCAAGAGGTGCAGCCGAGGAGCAAAGAAAAAATGCACCTCTGTTATATAATCAGTAGTGGAAAACCCCAAAGGAACCCCTCACCCTGTGGTTACACATTTAACAATTTTGGACTGAAAAGGCACCCTTGTTCATCATAAATCTTAGATTAATACCAAAGAGCAGATTTCAATGCATTAATTCAATTTTATTATATAATCATTACCCCATCTCCCCCATTAGAACCCCGCCTTGACACCAGCTAGGTGCCATGATATTAACAAATCTGGAAGAGGCACTTCGGCTCATCATTATCTCAAGCAATGGATACATGTTCTTCTATTTATTTTGTCCGCTTAACCCAGGAAAAGTGGAGGAGATCTTTACAGAATTAATGCATTTTCACTAAAACATCATTAGAGACCAGTCCTTAACCAGAACCCCTGGTCTAGGGACCATGAAAATCACAATTTTGAAAGAGGCACTCTTTCTCATCATAACTATGTACTTAGTTTATTTCATACCCATTAGTTCATCAGGAGCAAACGAAAAGAATTTTCAATCAAGAAATGCATTTATGTATTTAAATGCATCATAAATTGATATTTATTTCATCAGATAGAAACCCAGGAGCAGAGAAGATTTTTAATGAATATAGTGTATTTTCACTTATAGAAAGGGAGGGGGCAGGGCTATGAAATTCACATTTTTTTAAGGAATCACTGTGTAGTTAGTATAGTATGCCAGGGCATTAACAATAGTGGGAAACATGAGATAATTTGCATAACGAGCGAAGCCTAAGGTTAAATTTTTTTTACAAGTTACAAGTACGGAAATCTCCATGGTCAAGGTCAAAAGGTCAAGTTTTTTGGTATCCAATGAAAAATCTTTCAACAAAGAATACATATGTGAAGTATAAATGTCCTGGTGTCTACTGTTCAAAAGATATGACCAAAGTAAAAGTTTTTTTAATTTTTGTCTAAAAGTGGGTCAAACTCCAAGGTCAAAAGGTAAACTTTGGTGGTACCGAAAGAAAGGTCTTGTCACAAGAAATACACATGTGAAATATGAAAGTCATAGCTCCACTAAATCAAAAGTAATGGGCAAGGTTAAAGTTTTTGCGGACAAACAGACAGACAGAGAGACAGCTAGACGGACGGTCGGACACGACAAAAACTATACACGTATACCCCCGAAACTTCGTTTACGGGGGCATAAAAATTGTAAGAGGAATTCATAGAAGTGAAAAATATGGACAGTATCTAAGCTCAAAATTCCTGAAAACAATACAAATTTAGAGCAGAGCAATCACAGAACTCCAAAACATCAGAGGTTGGATCAGGTGCCATGGAGGAGTAAGCATTTCCTGCCGACCGGTCAAACCCGTCGTGTGCTCCTTTAGCTTGTCATGATCGGGAAACAACGTAAAAATTCGATCGTCGACAATTCAGTGAGTAAATAATGGCCAAACAATTAGTATGAAAAGCATCAGTTAGGGTTTCACTTAGATAAATTGTATTTGCTGACAAGGTAATTGCATCGACCATAGAACGAAATGATGACGAGACTGCTGATATTCTTGTTTCATCAACTTGTTTGTCAATTAATTATCCCGTTTTAGAAATTACCCATGCGTAAAGCATGCTCTTGTGTATCGAATGAACTGAGAGATATAAATCCCGTATGCAGGTGATGAAGGTATATAGCTGTATGAGTAAGGGAATTTGTTGATTTAAAGTGAAGTCATCACATTTATCAGTGTTTCCAATTTCAATTCATCTCAATTAGGAGTTGAATTCTAGAAAAACAAGATGTGTTTGTGAAACACTAATGCCCCCCCCCCCCGTATGGCAGCTTATGGCGAGGGTTGAATATTCTCATATGCATGTCAAACTCCAAAGGTCAAGGTAAAAAGCCCAAAGGAAGGTCTTCTTACAAGGAGCACACCCGCAAAACACGAAAGCCCTATTTCTTACTGTTCAAAAGCCATGACAAAGGTCAAAGTTTTTAAATCCTGGGTCAAACTCTTAGGTCAAGGTAAAAAAAAATATACCAGGTCCTGTCACAATGAATACACATGCGAAAAACGAAAGCTCTAGCTCCAACTGGTTAAAAGTTATGGTCAAGGTTAAAGTGTAGTATTTTCATTTTGTAAAAGTAGGTCAAACACCAAGGCCAAGAGGTCAAATCAAATTTGGTGAAGCCGTAGAAAGGTCTTGTCACAGGGAATACACCACGTGAAATATGAAAGCCATAGCCTCACCTACTCAATAGTTATGGACTAGGTTAAAGTTGACAACAGACAGACAGACAAACATACAGGACGAAAACAATACACCCCCGGGATCTTTCGATCTGGGGGCATAATAAATACTAGGGCTGTATCAATATATCGATACGTATCGATATTCAAGAAAAATATCGTATCGAAAAGTAACTTCCAACAGATGGAACACATTTCTGCATATTCTGTTTAAAAGATGGGAATTTCAATCACCAAAGATTATATTTTACTTTTTTGTTATGTAATTATATAATTTCTAAGCAAATAACACAGTTTTTATAATTACTACAAAATACATAGAGAAGTTTTTGAAACATGTTGATTTTACTGTCATCAAAAGTTTTAATTGAAGTGTTATTTTTAAAGACAATGTAAACAAAACTTTAAAATGGATAATAAAAAAATTGTTATGAAATGTAAAAATAAAATGATTTAGAAACCTTATACTGATGGATTTGTACCAAAATCCAATATATCGCATATCTTTTTAAAAAATATATGTTTATAAAATTAATTTTTGGTGGATAAAGCCTTTTACATGTAGTAAAAATAAACATCAAATATATTATTTGTTTGCGTGATCTAAACAAATGGAATTTTTAGATTTTAAGTGTTAATTTTGTTATGTCAAGAACATGCAACTCGAAAAAGGCAATAAACAGTTCAATTCCTGCGCAAACATTCAGACAATAACCAGAATTTCAAAAATTAGAATCAAAATAATTAAGATAGTATGTAAGAATGTCAGTGTAAACTTCAAAAATTAAAATTGATACTTCAGAAAAAATCGTATTACATATGCTAAAAATAAAATGTGATTCAAACTATATACGACGGTTGTACCAAAATTCCGTAGACTGAGCTCATATCTTTTTAAAGAAAATGTATCTTTATAAAATTAACTGGGTGAATAAAGCCTTTTCTTGGCAGATAAATTACGAAATTTTATCATGTTTGCTTGAAAACAAATCGAATTTTTAGATTTTAAGTGTTAATTATCGTTCACTAACACCCC